TTATATATATATATATATATATAATATTATTATTTTTAAATGTGACTTTTAGTATGAACAGTTTTTTAATTGACCACTGTATTTTGATTCTCCGATTCCGTCAATTTTAAAACATTTGTGTGTTAATGACAGTCACTATATTTTTTGAAAAACATATAGAATATAAAACGAATAATGTTTTCCACTTTACCGAGAAAAAAACACTAGTTCAAAAATGACGTTAGAGAAGTTGTATGACTATAGTGTCAAAATACTGATTTTTCACAAAATAAAAAAATCAGCTGATTCTTCAGTAGTTTGTAAATTACAATAACACTAATAATAAATTCAGCTTATTTTTTAGTACGGAAATACTTGTGTTATTTAATCAACTTGTTTACATACCCTGAAACTTATACATTGACTAAGTTTCTGAGTGGTTCCTGCAGTACTGAAAGATACGGTGAAGATTTGTTTAATCTTTCAGTTGAACAAATCATATGGAGGTCATGTGTTTCTTAAGACAACAGACGCGGATTCTGAAGGTACTTACAGATGTGAAGCGTCAGCTGAGGCTCCATCGTTTCAAACAATAATGGCTGAAAAAGATATGAAAGTGTATGGTAAGTAAAATACTAAATATTTTAAACTTATTATTGTGTGAATGTTTTTGCTTTATATCTATTTTACCAAAGTTCTATGTTAACTGTGAAATAAAGAAAATGTAGGATAATTAGAATGGTTGGAACTTATTTTCATACGAAGTTTGTTTGTTTCCTTGTCATTTTACTAAAAATCGATGTTAACGCTCTGAAATAGTAACTTCAATAATGGAACTTTACATTAATCAGAAAGGTTTGATATGTTTATCATTATTTTACCGATAGTATATGTTATATATGTTTATCAGTAGCATACGCTACATCAGGTTTTAGAACCCTACACAGTGTCGTAAGCAATCTGATAAACTGAAGTCTTTGAAAAACGATAGATAAGTATATATATATATAACTGAATACTTATTGCTTTGTGCAAATCCTGATATTGTGAGACATTTTCTAACCCGACAACTTACTGGCTACCAGTTTAGATTTTATACGTGTCATGGTTTTACCTTTAACGTGACTATGTAAAATTATCCGTGAATAGCAATAGTAACCTTGTGTCGTAGCAGTCACCGTATTAATTAATTATACGTATTGTACAGTAATGGAAATACTCTTTCTCCGTGAAAAATATTAACAAAGGTTGAAAGAAACAGTCACATTTATGTTTACTAATCACTGCAGTGAATAATATACAATGAACACTGATAATATGTAACAGTTTATGTGAATTTATAGTAACAATCGTGAAAACATACTACTGGATCGGAAGATCCAAAGTTCGAGCTACTGGAATACGCTCTGCATTTTCAGCTGTGGGTGCGAAACACAAAGGCATTAATCCTGCTATTCGACATTGTGATTGTAGTTAGTGCTGCCGGTTGACTGCCTTCCCCTGGTCAATACTTCTTAAAGATAGCCATATCCATGGGTGCCCACAGAAATATTTTCGGGGGAGGGGGACATGTACGTAGGAGATCTGATTTTACAGATGTGTGCTTAAACTCAAACACAAATTTACAGTTTTAATAAAAATTACTAAAAACATTTAGTTTAACTATTATGTTAAGTTTACATCATAATACGTGCAATTTTTTGTGAAATGTGAGGGGACAAATGACCCTTCTTGCCCCTTTCTGCGGGCGCCCATGGCTATGTCTGAAGCCTACAAGCTTCATGGGCAAACTATTAAAAAAAACTTTATTACAGAGAGAATTCTCATCTTTCTGTAATTAAACTACCATAAATACAAAATGGTTTTAGAAAATTTAGATTAACCGAAACCATCACTTAAAGTTATACTGTTGTATGTTTTTTAAATGTACAAAAAGCATTTGACGCCGTGTGAAATAATGGCCCTAGGTATCAGATGTATCAGATAAAGCTCTAGTATGGCATGATCCACCGGCTTTCCTACTTCTTGGACAATATAAAAGCTAAAGTCAATGTACAAGACACTTAATCTCAGTAGTTTCCTCAAGAGGAAGGTGTTCCGGGGGGTTGGGGCTAACTCACACTCTTTATATCATGTATATGTAAGCAGTTAAACCTGTTAGACAAAACTTTCTGCTTTTGTTCCCACTTCATAGATAACGAGGTTATCTGAAAAATTCCCCCAGATATCATTCTGGCATCTGACAATCTCCAACCTCTCCTGAACATAACTGAAGGATGGCATAACAAATGATGAATAAAAAATAAACCCCCAGAAAACTTAAGTAATTTGTTTCTCAGAATAACGCATACACTACGTCTGTGTGGAACCCTTCTCCAAGTAACTATTTCAACTAAATTCCTATGTCTTACTTATGATATGGGAGTGACATGGGTTAAACACATACAAATAATCAACATAGAACCTCGAAAAGATTGAATTATGTAAGATGTTTATCCGGTATATTTAGTCAGCAATAGAATTCGTATTATCAGCTTTGTTAAATATTGCAAAGTCTAATATTATTCTTTAATGTAACTTTCATTAACAGTATTGTTTATGATGTTTAATATATATATATATATATAATTTTTAGTATTTTATTATTATATTTTTCATCAAAAAGATTATTTTACATTTTTAGCTTAGTATAAGATTTAAGCCTAATCAGTATTTCCTAAACTCGCCATAACTGATGAGATATTATTGGAATCACGGCCCAAAATATCGCTAACAGCGAAGGCGTCTAATTGAAGAAACAATGCATTCTGATATTTGTAAGTAAGAACATAATACTTAATTAGCTAATTGCATAAGCTGGTATACTTTTAGTTGCTATCTATGTAGGTAGTTAGCTTGCTTTCATCAGAAGCTAATATTAATCTCTAAATTACAAAATATGAAAACGTCCATGCTCTTTACATCCATGAAAGTCCCTAGAACAAGATTTATCAAGTTTATTTATAACTACTCAAATCTCCCTAATTTGACAGATAGACTTCATTAACGTTCTTTGCATTATTTTCAAAATAACCTTGATAATAATGAGATCTTTCAGATATCTTCACAAATTTATCATGCATGTTTATCATCAGGCTAAATAAGTCTCCCCTATTAATATTTTTTTTTAACTTTGTAACTAAGGCTACTTAATGTTAGGTTACTCTATACTCCATGTAGCATTCGTTTAAGATTGAACTGTTTGTTTTTATGTACACATGAGCAGTTTCTTAAATGAATGTTCTATACTGTAATGCCATTCCTTGAACGTGGTTTTGATAAGTGGATCGTATTAAAATATCTACTGACTGTAGCAGTATTCGGGAATTTTCTACCAACTGAATGACCAATTTTCACATAAGCCAGAACATGAAATGATGTCCTGAAGTGAAGAAGAGGTCTCTTCTGCGCCTGTACTTCCCGAGACCTGAAACATAGCACAGAACAAACCGTAGGTGTTTCTCTCTCTCTGCCCTGTCTGTTTAGCACCAGTAAGTATAAGGTGCTGTTCAGATTGAAAATACCAATACTAGAGTGAGTCTGGTTTGATCAATATGATAAGTTTCAAGTATACAGTTAGCGATAGAAGATAAAAAAAAATATTTTTACGAAGTTTATTTATTTATGATTAAAATCTATGTTTAATAATAACGTTGTTGTTTAAGAAAAAATAAGTTATCTCAAAACATTCATCCTGCGTGCAAAATAAAGTAATTTTCATGATCAATTTGTTTGGTGCCTTGCGTATGTATGCCGGGCATAACCTAGTGGTATTACTCTGGATTGTGGACCTGAGGCTTCATGGTTCGCGTACCGTTGCTTTAAAACATAAAAAAAATCGCGCTCCGAACCATAGGAAGTTGGTGCATTATAAAAACGACGGTCAAATTACATTACTCGATTAAAGAAACCTAGACATTGGCGTTTTGTGCTGTTTACTATCTACCTTCTCTCTAGTCTTATCAGTTCAAAATTAGGGACAGACAAGAACAGTAGCTTTTCATAAATATTAAAAATAAACCTACATATGCTCGAACTTCATACTTTAATAGACCTTTCACAAATTCACGCTCTCTTTTACTTCCGTTTTTGAATGTATATCACCATGGTAACAAAAGTTTATGGTGGTTTTTAACGAAGTCGGAAATACGTGCTTATATTAAAGAGAGGAATCAATCTTAAAGATCAGAACTTTCCATTGAAAGTGATATAATACTAAATCGTTATCATATATTTGTCTTCAACTCGAACGGTTCTCGCACGTGAACATAACTTGTCTTCGATAAAACTAACAAAAAAGTGTTATCTTAGACATTTCATAAACGTGGTCTTCGCGTTTAAAAGTGGATTACAAATTTAATTAGAAAATATGTGGATTACAAATTTAATTAGAAAATATTCGAGAAAATTTATGGACTAAAGTATAGATCGTTACTTGTATTGTGGAATTCATAAATAAGTTGTCTACTTCAAGGCCTCTTTTAAAAGCTAGAACTCTAAGAGTTGTCACTATTTTTAGATTTAGAAAATGTTTACCGTCATTTACGGAAAAATCATCCTTCGGTATCTTTCATTTCATTTGCGTATATTGTATTAATTCTCAAGACTAAACATTGTAGACGATTCAAAGTCATTTCTACAGTTAATAATACGTAATTCTTAATTATTTGGATTTGTTTCTTTTGTACTCTTGTATTGTTTAGATTATATATCCAGCACGATTTTCTGGAAAAAAAAAGAACTTTGAGAAACATTAGTAAAGTGCAAGATAATTCCTATTGTTTTATAGCTCACGACTTTATTTTTACGTTATTTTAAATATACATTAATTAAACAACTTTCAGCAATGAACAATTATTAGTGTAAAAGTGCCCATTTAATAAGGTATATAATGTAATGAAGAACCACCTTTAAGATTAAGTCATTCCAAGATACCTTGTGATCACACAAATCTTCCTGGAGGACAGAAAAAAAGAACTGTTATGGTACATTTTCAACCATTGTCATGTTCACTAAAGCAGTTCTGTTACTATTAGAACTTTATAAAGTCTTCAGGCTTTATTAGTTCATTGGGTACTCAATATTAGCGAAAATCTAAGGTGGTAAACATTTCTAGTCAGCTTTCTTACCACGGAGTTTTACGTAAAAGGGCCTCGTGGTTATCATGCCCGGGCTGGGAATCCGAGGATTTACGGTTCGAGTCTCGTTACAGTAAGACCACAATTCACACTTTGGAGCCTAGGTATGCTATAAAATTGAAGGTTAAATCCTACTTTTCGTTCAAGCTAGAGTAGTCCAAGAGTTCATAATAGATGCTGCTAACTATCTACCATTCGTCTAGTTTATCAGTTCAAGCATAAGGACGTTATGCGCTAACAGACTTAGTGTAACTTTGCGTAAAACTTTTGAACAAACGTAAAATTCAATTCGTAGCTCATGATCGTTATTACTTTAGTTGG